CCCTTGGCTACCTTCCCCCACACTCCTCTCCATCAGACTGACATGCTTCACTGGTTTACCAGCACCCCGTTGACCTCAGTGGGATCTGGAGTTAGCATCCTCTTCACACCTCAATGCACCCAAGCCACCGGTTGGATCCAGAGTTTTTTTCTTTTATTTTCATAGTAATCTTGAGTCAAAGATGCCGAAGACTGGCTGTTGAAAAACACGTACAAAACCTATGGGGGATATTAAATATCCAAAACTCAATGAAAAATGAACAATTCCATTATCAGGGTCTTTGTTGGCTGTAACTTTGATGATAATTATAGATCTCAAAGTTACCAAAATGGTGACTTGAAAACATCTACAAAGTCAATGGGCTGAAATAAATATTGAAAAATCAGTAATAACTCAGATGATGACGTCATCCATTTAATTTTTTTGTATAAGGGTCTTTGGTGCCTATGACTTTGATAGCGAGCAAACATCGCAAAGTTTCCAAAATGGTGGCTTGAAAACGTGTACAAAGTCAATGGGCTAAAAATACATCCAGAAAAACTGCTCCTTAAGTTCGTGTCACGTGATTTGTGTTTAAACTGAAAGATTTTATGAAATATTACTTGATATTCTTACTCATGAGTGTATTTTAAATCAAATAACAGGACCCAAAAATATGATTTCTGCTTCATTCTTTTAGTAATTTTGAGCTGAAGTTGACTACAAGTATTGGCTCGTTAGTAGGAAAGTGTGTACAGACCCTATACATGGCAACAAATTAAATATTCAAAACTAAATCACGTGATGAATGTCATCATGACAAATTTGTTTTAGGACCATCATTGGATGATTGTCTGAAGGTCTATCAAGTCAATGAAGTCAATCAGATGTATGAAACTATCGAAGTCCTATGGTACACAAAGATGTGTACAAACCCTACGGAAAAAGTCTGAATATGGAAAAGAAAAAAGCTATAAGGAAAAGAATAGCTGTTCTTGCTTTTAGCCGAAACAGCTAATAAAACAGAAAAAATCATTCAAAAATTTATTAGCCTCCGACTTTGCAGGTGCTGCCCAGTGTTGTAGTCGAGCCCTTTGTGTCCGAGACCAAGACCAAGGCATTCAAGACCGAGACCAGCTCTTTCAAGACCGAGACCAGAACTTCGAGACCGAGACTTTTGCAGTTCAAGACCGAGACCAAGATGACCGAGACCGAGACCTTGCACAACATATACAATATATAGGCCTACATGTACATGTAGTTCATTGATGGTAAACGTGGTAG